TAATTTTAGATTCTTATTTTGGGTTATAGTTAAACTGTAATCACTTCTGCGTTATATCGCATTCATGTTTAGAAGGGGCTTGGATTGTTTTCTTCTGCCCTTCTTTTCTAGTTCTAGTTTGAGATTTGAGTTATATAAATCTTTTGAAAAAGATATTAGTTAATTTATTTCTGGATAAAGTCCAAACCTTTGGCTTACTCTGCATTATTCTGCATGTGAAATGGATTTTGAAATATCATCCTCAACTTCAATCTACTCTGTGAACGTGAAATCATTTGGTGCTATTTTGTTGATTCAGGATTTTGGCCAATGTGATGCAAAAAAGTGCACAGGACGCAAGCTTTCAAGATTTGGGTTTTTGAAAGTAAGTATCCAGCTACGTTTTCCTTTTGAATTACTCATTTGCATTTAAATTTCTATGTTAACTGGGTTTTTTTCTTTTTCAAACTATAATTTCTTTTATTAAATCAGAATTGGCTTGTGGTCTTCAATGCCATGTCTATAAAATTTGCATCTTTAATGTGGATGGTAAATTGTTCATCATTATTTGAGTTTACCAATTGGCACTGGGATCTCTACTTTATGGAAATATCACTAGTGTAGTGGAATATTTATCAGATATTTTGGATGTGACTTTTTCCAATGGTAAAAAGTAAGTATTTAAAAGAGGCATAGGTCTCATAACATTTTTTTTCAGTGAAATGCAAGAATACCGACTATAAATGATGAAAAGTCTTTTGTAGAAGCTTAGTGTTAACTTCTTACAACTTCATGCAGGAATTGCGTGTCAATAATGGTTTTGGAGGCATTGTTTTGAGGTACCTTACTTTATCTATGATGCTAATTAATTTTCTAGAATGATGTCATGTTGCATTGTGTTAGTTTTATATCATCATCTGTGTGCCCTGGAATATTATACAGGAAAAATAAATAAATTATATACCAAAAATCAAGTGAGCATTTGACCTTTCTGATGGTGTAATGAGCAATACTGAATCATTATAGCCTGTTGCGTTCCCCTCATATATGAATTATTTTACTAATGGTGTTTTCCATTTTTGCAGTCCAGTTGGGACGCTTTGTGTCTCAAGAGAAGATTATAGCTTAATCCAGAGAAAGGGATTAGCTGTTGTGGATTGCTCTTGGGCACGCTTGGATGATGTACCGTTCGTGAAGCTGCGTTGCACTGCTCCTCGCCTCTGTATGAGCTTTAGTTCTTCAATCAATTAGCTTACTTGAAGTATCTTTTTTAAAGTATAATTTGTGGGTACAAACAACCAGGAATGTCCCACATGTCTATTAAAAAATAAATATATATGTGCTGAAATTGATATCTATATATATATATATCTATATATATATATACACATGTGGATTTTTGGATTTTTATAGTAGTTGAAATGTAAAGAGCCGTATATATTATAATTATGAAAACATTAAATATGAGGGTACATATTTCATATTTCACAGTGTAAGCCTCTGAAGTCTCACCCACACTTATTCGCTGTTTTTGGAGTGTGTGCGAGTTACCCATAAAATAGAGAAAATACAAATACGAGTGCTAGTATCCTAGCAAAAGATGAAACTGAAAAAGATACCGACTGTTAGTGACTAGGAAGGAGTGAAGGATCGAACAAAATTGCAAAAGAATGGTTATTTAGTTTTATTGATTTTGGTTTCTTAATCTTGATGTATTTGTCTGTATTAATGTTCTTTCCCTTTATGCTCTTTGTGGATTACTTGCCCACTTTACTGTACAGTCTTTCTTATGAAATAGAATTTCATATTTTCATTTTAAAAAATGTGATAATGCTACTAGTCTAAACAAATAACAACCTTGTTTCTCATTTTTATATGGTACTGCCTATGATAATTATGTTATATGGTGTTATTAATGGATCATAAAATTTACTGCACTTATGGTACTGCTATGCATGCATGGAGTTGAATATCCGTCTTCGACAGTTTTCTTCTTACCAACTCTCTAAAATTTACAAATCATATAATTGCAGTGCCTTGGCTTGTAGCAGCAAATCCGGTAAATTATGGTCGACCCTGTCAACTATCTTGTGTGGAGGCATTATCTGCAGCTTTATTCATATGGTACTAAAAACTCTTTTTTTTACCTTGCAGAATGAGAATTTTTTGTTTATTGCTGATGTTTTTTTGGACCTTACACCAGTGCAATCTGTCATGCCTGTTTCTTTTACATATTTTTGTAATTGTATGAAAGACATTAAAGATCTATGACTTCTATGCTTTCCCATAATAATAAAAGTATCTAAGGCTGTTGCGCTACTGCAGTACAACCTACTGACCCAAGTAGGCTCAACCTAATCAAGGCTTAGGCTTAGAGCCTTTTTTCTCCCATGCCTTTGGTATGCTTTAAAGGGTGCTACCATTCATCTTTGTGAATTCTTTGTGGTGAACTTATTTCTTTATTTGGGCCGACAGTTTGATATGTTATCTACCAGACATACAGTTGAATTTTTTCAAATGTTTTTTTTAAAATATATGATTTCACAGTGGAGAAGAAGAAACTGCAAATTTGTTGCTTGGAAAGTTCAAATGGGGTCATGGTTTCTTGTCCCTCAACAGGTATGGGTTTAGTTCATTTGTTGAATTGTTTATTTACTTTTGCATAATATGAACATCAGAATTCATATTCCAGCCAAGAAATTCGAGCTATGTCAGTTGAAACCCATAGACTTACAATATGTAAACCCAATTCACAAAATGAAGTCGAACTTTCGATGACACGGGTCCAGCATCATTTCTTAAATGTATGGTTGAGTGAAGAAAATCCATCTAAAGCCCGTTTTGTGTTTTGAACTTTCACATTGACCTAGGTTGTCATTTCGTTCTGATTTGTTTGCTCAGTTAAAAAGGAAAATTCCATACAATTCTAGATTGACTAGCGTATTCTAACGAGATTAGTGACTGAAATTCAACTATATCCGACTGCTTAAAGTTCATAATGACCACCCTGGTATCATGGTGGTATCTCTGTAATCTCCAAATTATTTTGCATAGTATATTGAGATTACTCTCAATCTTTATCAAACTACACAATTATTCTTGACTTTCATGTCTCTAACACTGTTCAACCTTTGGCATTTTAAATCGATGCAGGGAACTTCTAAAGGCATACTCTAAATGTGAAAATAGTGCTGATATTATTTCAGTCCAAAATGATTGGCTTTCACAAAATAGTCAACTTCCAAAGGTTCCTGCAGAAGTGAAAGGTATTTTTCACTCTTAAACAACAGAATGGATATTCTCTTTACAATATACGGGGCTGGTTCATCTGTTGTTTCAACTTATATGCCATTAGATTTCAGGGTGCATTTTTTTTTTAATCCTTTACATTTTCATGGAGTTTTCTGTTTTGCTCCATCATCTTATCCATCTTAACATCCAGCTGGTGGGTGGTGAAGGGCCATACCATTTTTTGTGGCACATATATTTACAACACTTGGGGCGATCCGTGTGTGCTTTCTATCGAATGAGGATGATCTTTAAACAGCCATCTTTGTTGAGAAAGTTATGCGAGTCTCACCGGATGTTTGCTTTTTTCTGTTACAGGAGCAGACGAGTCATCCCTCATTGAAGATGAGGGCTCTTATGATTCCGACGATGGACTTCCACCACTGGAAAGGAATATGAATCATTTAGACATACAGGAAAGTGATGATGAAAGTGAGTAACGAAGGGAAAATGTTATATTTCCAGTGTGATTTAATATGTAAAAAATGCTCTTAAAGACTTTTTCTAGCTGACTATACTAATATATCTAATCAGCACGTGATTTTGGCTTTTGGTATGTGCTGAGGTTTGTTTTATTAATTATTGTAATTTCAATTCTTTTTGTTTCATGCCAACTAAAATCCTTTTGCTCCCCGAGTGACGATTTTTACGTTTATGGCCATGTTTGTCAATTGCAATGCAAAAGGTTGTTACCACTCTCCACACTACACTCATACACTCCCATGTTTTAGAAGTGATATACAATTTCTCTCACTCACTCCAGTCACGTAGATTCCATGAACTTTTTAAGACAATATTTCAATATTTTGTAGAAGACACAAGAAAAGGTCATCATTTTATGTTTCGGATTAACCCTTAATAGATTTCTTTAGAAAGAAAAATTTACCAACCTGTAGAGGTCAAGATGGGCCAGAAGGGGTTGAAGGGTGGATGCTAGGTTCAATTCCCCTGTAACAAAAAATAAAATAAAATAAAGTCTTAAAATTCAAACTTATTAGTGGTGCTACTTTCCTCGTCACACAGAAGTTGAGAAACCCATGTTCAGTTAGTCTCAGTATGCTCTTTTGCACCTGAATTATAAGCTCATTTGGTGTTTCTAGATAAAACACGTTTTCGGATTAGCCGTACGTATATAAACTAACTCAAATTAGACATGTTTAAAGTTTTTAATCATGCCTACAGCTCATACTTCATACTTAAGGAGTGGTAGAAAACTGGGGTTTAATATGACAGGTTGATATGATATCACTTGAAAAATATTTCAGTTATTTATTTATTAGTGTAGTTTTTTCTTTTCCACACAAGTTACCAGCCATGATTTTGTACAGCTTTATCACCTTACGCAACATGCTCCAGTCAAATGGTGAAACTCGAAAACAGAAGCACAATAAAACTTAAACATGGCCACCAGTACTAATAAGAATAAATTATCTGATCCCAAATCGCATCCCTGTACGACAAGGGGTGGAAACATTAATTTTCTGTTAGTTTTTACAAACTTTTACGACAAGCAGAAATTTATTCACTGTTCTTTAGCTCTTTTCCTCGCCAGATAGCGTTCTTTCGCTGCAGTTAGGGCATCTTCGCTTCTTTTATGATGGTTACTCTTTGGTTGGTTTTCTGGTGGCTGTTCAACTGACGAGTTTTCCTGTGCCAACGTGTTTGAAGCTTGCTTTTCATCAGAGGGCTCAACACTACTTTTAGAAATAGTTAAAGTTTCCTCTTGATGCCCCTCTATCACATCGGGAGAATCTACTAGCTCTGATGCTGCAGCAATTGCTCTGTCTGGCTTGTCCATTTCGACTTGCTTCTCTAGCTGCCCCACTTTCAAACTTTCAGACTCCAATGGCTCCGATGCTACAGCAATTGGTCTGTCTTCATGTTTCTCTAGCTTGCTTAATTCAGCCTGCTTCGCTAGCTTCCTTGACTTGGCATCTTCTGCCCCAAAAGCAACATTTTTTCCAAGGTTGAAGTAAAACTCAGTCAAGTCTTTCTTCTTGGTAACATCATCTTTCTCCTCACCAAGTTGACGTAGTCGTTCTTCCTCCATCCATTTTGCCTGCTCTGCAAGTTTCCTTTTGTAAGCACTTGTAACAAATTTGTCCTTGTCTGCATAGAGGTGATCCTCTTGGGTTCTTTCTTTAGCAAGTTTTCTCTCATATACTATTTCATGCTCTCGGTTTCGTTCTTCTGCTTTTTTCATTAAATACTGAATATATCTTGGCTTTCTCTCTTCACGATCTTGAGCACGAGGTTGGATAGCTTTCTGTTTCATCTCGTCATAAACTCCATCGTAGTCAAACACCGATGGGTCCTGCTCCAGCGCCTTCCTCTGCTGCTCCTCAATATCCTTGAGAGACTTGTTCTTGGAAGCCTGGCGAGAAATTTCTTTCTCAACGTCATTGTCATCATCATCGCCAAAACCGAGAGGTTTAGGGAGAGGAGGCCTTGTCGGTTGCTTCTTCTGCTGCGGCCTAAGGTTCAACCCATACCTACTCATTTTTTTTTGGCCTTTCCTGTGTGATGAGTCGAGTCCGTAGGAGTAGGAGGCGCTGCTTCTAAATTCCAATCTACAAAGCAGTTAATTTAGCTTCAATTAATTTAGTAGAAAGTATGTTGGGATTAAAGAGCTGTAAAAGTATACACAAACTACGAAAGCACAGTAATCCAAAATTATAAAGTATTCAGATTAGCTTTCCTGACTGCATAAGGATTCTAATTAACTTTCATAGTTGTAAAAGGTCACCAGCATAAGAATTCTAATTAACCTCCTCCTTTTTTTAAAATATTTTTTTTACTTACATTCACTAATTTTACAAGATTTATAACAACAAAAAACAACTGAAAAATTAGTAAAAAAACCACATATCACAATTGTTATGCATACCACAAATTATTTCTCATAAAAAAAGTTGCCACCCAGTTGCCTATCATAACAATGAATCAGAGAACATGAATGTCCACTAAAGGTGCAATAAACAGGAGAACTTGTAAGCAAATAGCACTCTAGGGTTTCACATCATTTTCAACTCTCAAACACAAAATCCATCAAATAATACAAAATCGAATCAATCAAAACCTCAATTTCACTATGTATACGAAAATCAGGGATGCCCAAATCACAATTTTCACGAAAAAGAAAGAAGAACCCAAAAGAGAGAGCAATCTGAATTACAAAACCCCTACCAATTTAATCGATTCAAATATCACTGAAACATAAATAAATTAATAAAAAAAATACTCACAGGAGGTGGCAGAATCAGGGGCGCCAATCGCAAATTCGTTTCGTCTATTCCTTCACAGAGACGACGAGACTGCAAATCCCATCAGATTTGGGAACGAAGGGGCGTGATTGTCGTTGTCGGCGGCGTGGTGCTGCGTCTGAGAGAAGAGAAGCAGACAGAGAGCGTCGAGCGATAAGGAGAAGAGGAGGAGAAAGAGACTGACTGAGGGAAAACGAAAACCTAATTCGTAAACTAAAGTGGGCCTGTATCAGATATGGCCAGTTTTTATTCTAACAAAATAGAACTGGCCTAATAAAATAATACTTTTTATATTGTATATTATATATAATATATTTAAAAATATATATTAAATACTGGACCGGTCCGGTTCGGTCCGGTCCGGTGCTATCTCATGCAAAACCGGAACCAGAACCGGTTTGGACCGGTCCGGTCCGGTTTTGTTGACTTTTTAGTCAACTCGGTTTTTTCCGGTTTTTTCCGGTTTTTTTTCATCCGGTTTGGTTCGGTTTTCCGGTTTTCCGGTTTATATGCCCACCCCTAACACTAAAGAAAGGTCATCTAATTAAAATGCAGATAATGAGATCATGAAATAGACGACGGTTTATAAAAGAAGTAGACGACGGCAAAAAACACAGTCGTTATTTTTAAGGCCTAATAATTTGTAAAACAAGTAAAAGCGTCATGGTATTATTCTCAACACGACGGTTCTTGGAAGCAAGGTCTAAAATATCGATGATATCGGAAATGTTATTTTCTGCAGCAAAGGTATGGCCTTTGTTTCTAGTTTATCTGTTTTGTTGGATTTGGGGCTTTGCCAAAGTTTTGAATTCAGGATTTCGTATTTGGTTTTTTTTTTTCTCATTAATTACAAGCCTATCATTTAGTTTTCTCGATGAATTGTGACATAGAGCCTCTATAGAATCTATAGAATTTATTATCATGTATTACCTTCAAATGTTTTTCCTTTTCTCTGCATGACAAGTATTTCTTGATGGATATATATATTTTTTTATCAAACATGTTGGTAGATTATGGTCTCTTTGTTTGCGCGTTACTCTTTGCTAAGTTCTTGCATCCGAGTTATTTTACTATGATTGTTTAGTATAATATACTGGTCATTATTTTGTTTTGTTTTTATTTGTTCATATTATTTGCATGGAATTAGTAATTTGTAATTTTCTTGTGATTTTTTGACGGAAGTATTATTTTTTATAGAGGAAAATTTAACTTTTATTGTAATGCCTTGAGTAGAGAAGAGTTTTTCACAGTTTATTTAGCAAGAAGCTTGTGGTATGCAGAAATTGTCGAGACCTAGAGACTTTCATTCTTATTGGGGAAATTGGCCAAATAGTGAACTTGGGATTCCAAAATTTTCTTCTATGTTATTTTCAAACCTTTATGTGTATGTTAGCTTCCTTAAATAGTTAAGTGGAAATATCTGTATCATTGCATTTTTTGAATGTGATTGCTTCTTGTTTGGTACTTGGTGGCTGCATTTTCTTGTTTATGCATTAACTGAAGTTATTTTCCTTGTTTTTGTGTGGTTTGCTTTTTCTTGTTGCTGCTGATACTTGTACCATTGTTGTTGTTTTTTTTGTGTTACTTTAAAATCAGGATTGAAGGTGAGGTTTTAGTTGAACGAAGATGTCATCACCATATCCAATTCTCGATAATCGACCAATTGATCAATGGAAGGTTACAGAGTTAAAAGAGGAGCTCAAGAAGCGGAAATTGACAACCAAGGGTTTGAAGGATGATTTGATAAAGCGTTTGGATGAAGCAATACGAATTGAAAGCGCAAATGCTGATAATGGTCTTAATGGTGATCCCCAACCTGTTGTTGGGGTGAAAGTTGTAGAGCCACGTTCAGGTTCTAGAACACCTAAAAGTATTGGTTCTGGTGGACGTAAAAGGACTGAAAAAGTTGATGTTCCAGTTCAGATTGACAACCGCGCAGCAACCTTGGATCAAGGGAATATTCAAGAAGGTTATATTTTGGTGGATAAAGATGCATGTGCTATTGTTGAAGAGGGGCTGGGTCAATCAACTACTGTGGAAACCACTGTGGAAACCAGTGTTACGGTCACCGAGAGTGTGGTAACTGAGGAAGCAGTAGTTGTGCAAGATTCACAGTACACTGAAGCCAGTAAGGGGAATTGGAATTCAAAGCCCCTACTGGAGAATGAGGATGCAAAGCCCCTGCTTGAGAATGAGGACCCAAAGCCCCGGCTTGAGAATGAGGATCCAAAGCCCCAGCTTGAGAATGAGGATCCAAAGCCCCAGCTGGAGAATGAGGAACCAGAGCCCCAGCTGGAGGATCCAAAGCCCCAGCTGGAGGATCCAAAGCCCCAGCTAGAGAATGTTGATCTAAAGCCCCAGCTGGAGAATGAGGCTCTAAAGCCCCAGTTGGAGATTGAGGATCTAAAGCCCCAGCTGGAAAATGAGGGTTTAGAGCCTACAGCCAAGGATGACATGCTCGGCTCTTCTGCTTCGAACTACCAGGTATCTGAGGTCAGCACTTTAGGGTCTGAAGTAAAATATGATTCTATTTCTACTGATTCTGTGTCAATTAATGAAACGATTGAACTAAAGGATAATATAATTGCTGATCATGTCAAATTAGAATTAGATATTGTTAAGCCGGAGATGGTGGACCCATCATCCAGCACTGTTGTTCCAGTCAGTGGTGATTCACATCCAATGGATGTTGACGAGCCACTTGAGGACAAGGCATCTCTTGGAGAGAAAGATGACAACATTACAAATGCAGACATTAGCAAGAAAAATGATAATGCGGATTTGGGGTACTCAGAAATATTAAATTTAGAGAGAAGTTCTGGAGATGATTCTATGGAAGAAGATGTGTTGGACAGTAAACAAATTGATTCAAAATATAGTTCTGACGATGTGGGAGATATTGGTGAGAAAAATGAAGTTCCTATTGTGAATGAGGAAAGTCGTGCTGGTATTGTGGGAGATGATATTGCCACAGACAAAAATGATGTAAGTGTTGAGAACAAGAATCATCCAGCTCTTCCTGCTGAGAAAAGAAAGCTTAATGGTAAGCATTGCAGCCAGTGTTTCTTGATACTATTATATTTTTCAACCCATCTGTTACTTTACTAACTGTGTAAACTTCTGTGTGAGTTGGGATCCATAAAGTTTATGCATTTGGCCTCTGAAACATATATTATCTTCATGCAATTTCGAGCTATCTGCAGTGCATACGTGTAATAGGGTCATGTGTATATCACAAAGAACACATTTTTCTTTAGGAGTAGGGATTAATACTACCCACCCATTTATGACTTTTAATAAATAGTCAACTAGTCTCTTTAGTTTTAGTTGTTTCTCTATGTAATAAATAGGGTCTTGGAATACTAATGAACTACCTAAAAATATAAGGACATCAATGTTTTATAGGAATTCTACTATTATTAATGTTTTGTTGGAATTTTGGAAATGTCTTTAGGGAGAAGTGAGAGTCATTCTTAGTGTATAAAGGGACAGATAACTTTGTGATGAATATAATCAGTTTCTGAATGTACCTTGATTCCCGTTAGAAAGTTTAGGCTTCGATGTTCTGCCTTTTACTTATTGTGTAAGAGGACTTTACCTACTTTCTGCCACTTGATTTCACTGATCTTATTTTCCTTTGTTTTTTGACGCATATTTTTTATGTATTGCTATTTTGTAAGTTTTGATTACTTTTTGTTATCCAAAAGACGGTCTATATGAATGTTTAGTCATGCCTTTTGGACTAACCAACGCGCCGAGCACTTTCATGATTCCTGTACTTGTTTGAAATAATATCATATCTTTGGCTTTGTACGTTGTTTTTTTTTTCCCCTTTCCCCATTAAAGAATCTGGTATTAGTATGCCCTTTTCATTGGATAACTTACCTTGCAGATCAAGCAGCAGTTGGAAGCAATGAGCCTGTAAAGAGGCGCAGGTGGAACTCTGAAAACCTTAAAGTTCCAGAGCTGCAAAGCCCTCTTCAAACACCTTCAGTCACACCCAAGGATACTTTCCAGAGCCCCAGTTTGAAGCGTAGCTTTTCAAGATCGAACTCTACAATGAGTGAGGATGCCCCCAAGGAACGTGTTGGTGAGTTTTTCTTTGTTTCTTGTATCTGATAATGTCCAGCAACATATGCTTTGATTCCTTATATCTTTGTTTGTTGCAGTTCCACCATCGCAGAAGCCTCCAACTAATTCCCTTAGAATTGATCGTTTTCTGCGACCTTTCACCTTGAAAGCTGTGCAAGAACTTTTAGGCAAAACTGGGAAGGTTACTGATTTCTGGATGGACCACATCAAGACTCATTGCTATGTTACTGTAAGACTCTCTCTCTCTCTCTCTCTCTATCTCATATAGAATGAAACTCATCCCTTCCTCATGAAATTACTGTGTTTATGCAGTATTCATCAACGGAAGAAGCCTTGGAGACACGGAATGCTGTGTATAACCTACAGTGGCCCCCCAACGGTGGGCGCCTTTTAGTGGCTGAGTTTGTTGATCCCCAGGAAGTGCAAACACGGGTTCAGATTCCTCAGACTCCTGCTACACCCATCAGTAGCGGTCCTGCTGTACCTGTTGCCCCATCCACCTCACAGCCACAGCCTTCACCCCGTCAACCTAGGCAGCAGCTTCCACCACCTCCTTCTCTTCCACCTCCACCACCTTTGACTGCCCCTTCCTCAGCAAGAGAACGGCTTCCTTTGCTCCTTCTCTTCCACCTCCACCACCTTTGACTGCCCCTTCCTCAGCAAGAGAACGGCTTCCTTTGCCTCCCCCACCTCCTCTACCAGAGAAACTTGATACACCGATTGTCACTTTGGATGATCTCTTTCGAAAAACCAAGTCAACTCCTCGAATCTATTACTTACCTTTGTCGGAAGAACAAGTGGCTGAAAAACTTGCAGCACAGGGCAAAAATGCCAAGCAGTAGGAGCATCGCCACAGTCCATCCATGGCTGCTGTTCAGATTTTCTTTTCAGTTGGTCAGTATGTTAGATGTAGGGCAGTGTCTTGTAATTGCATGTTTAATGGATTTTGGTTATTATGAAATCTTGTTCATGGTTGAGAGGGCCTGAGACCAAGTGTTTTTCTATATTAGTATTAGAACCCTTATAGACTGAGCCTTATTTATTGGCTTGTGGATCCATTTGTATCTTCGTTTTCTATGGAAGTAGAGTTCCAATTTCACTTTACTTTAAACTGATGGAGCCTAAATTATATTGATGAATCTGGATTTTGAATTTTGGAAAATTGGTTTAGGGATGTTGCTTCCTAGGGTAATTACGGTTGCAGGATAAGCTCTTTGGAATGAGAGCTGAGCACAACATCCATTGAAAACAGGTTTTTCCCTGTTTCAAAATCTTCTCATCATCAGATATGCATTTGGGCAAACAGAGCACACCAACTTGGAAGCTATCATGTAATCGCACACGAACTTAGAACATCACTTTGAGTAAGAGTGTTCAATTTCAATAAACGCCATTAATATTGAGGAATTCTCTCAAGACATGGTGGTGCAGGTGAAAAAGTTAGGGGGCATACCACCATCTGTAGGGCGTGTGTGCTAGGTAGTGAGCCTCTATCGAAGCCCGACTTATGTTGTAACTCGTTTTCCCTCTATTAGTATAAATTTGTCGTTCACTCATATTAATGGATTGATTGTTCAACATTGAGTTACACTTGTATTACAATAATTTCTCCTCGTTGAGTGTTCAAGATGGATTTGACCAATTTTGATCATGAGATAACATTTAGGGGAGGGATTGAAACTCCACAACGAGAATTCCATAATAAGGACTTGATTTGAGGACTTTATTTTGAAAAGTTTTCTTGATAGTCTTTTGTCAGAAGGGCAAATTTGTGTTAAGGACTAGTTGTCATCCATTAGATATGCTAGTGGGTTAATTTTTTTATTTTTTATTTTTACATATACCATATATGTGATTCAATAACTGAGATTATAAATCCTTGATTAATTCTTAACAAAAAAATTCTTAAGGGAAATTTGCATAAATACCACATGGACTTTTGGGCATGTGCGCTAATACCACTTGAATTTTTATTTTTTATTTTTAACCACTTGAACTTTATAAAGTGTTGCAATCCACCATTTATGTCTAACTCCATTAAACTTTCCGTTAAGTTTGATGGCATTTATGTCAACTCACTATAACTAAAAATAATTATAAAAAACATAATTTAGAAATTTTTAAAAAAAAAACCTAATTGCACCACACATTCCCTAGCCCCACATTTTCCAATGCCAATTCTCCCCCTCACCCTCATGGGAAGCTAAAGATTCAAAACTCATTTTTATCTTTTTATTCAAAGCTTTAAAATAAAATAAAAATTAGAAACTCATCCATCATTTAGACCACCTGTGATATATACCATTTATATTAGATTTAATTTTAATTTAGGTGCATAGGCATAGCCATAGCATGCTCATTCATGGCTGGGTCGATGAGTGTAATTAGGTTAAAAAAAAATTTGGAAGCTGCTGTGTAATCAGGTTAACTTTAAAAAAAAAAAAAATATTTTTAGTTAGAGTGAATTGATAAAAATGCCTTTAAATTTAACGGAAGCTTTAACTGAGTTAGACATAGGTGGTGGATTGCAACACTCTACAAAGTTCAGATGACATTTATGCAAATTTCCCAATCCTTAATGGAGCATTCCCTATTCGTATATGATTAATGAGAAAAAAAATGGACCATATAGGAAAGAGAAATAACTATTTATTTACAATATCCTAATTAGCTTATTAGACAGGTTAGGTCAATTGGCTAGAGCAGTGAGTCCGCCTCCTTGTACCGAAGTTCGAGTCCCCTCCTCGTAGGTTAGACTATTTATTGTTTAAAAAGAAGAAGATGATTTTAGCTTATGAGGGTGTTTAGACTAGATGGTGTGCTAAATGTTTGTTTTGGATCCAATGAGAGCCAAAACCTTAATCATAAAAGGGAGTGTAATTGTGTAAGTAGATAAAAGAGGAGCGGGAAAATCAGCTCCCTAAAAAAAACTAAAAAGAAACAAAATAAAATTGGGGTAAATCTGCAGATCCGTTTTAGTTCACGCTGGGTTTTAGACAAAAAAAAAAACATTGAGTTACTCCCTCAAAACCGTTGGTTTTTATCTGCAACTCTCTCTCTCTCTCTCTCTCTCTCTCTCTCTATGTTAGAAGCGTTTCTCTTTGCCACTCCCCTGCAACAGAGAATAGAAAACCGTTTCTAGGGTTTGGCAGATTCGTGAAAACAATTGTATAAAAAGAAACAAAATAAATTTGGGGTAAATCTGCAGATCCGTTTTAGTTCACGCTGGGTTTTAGACAAAAAAGAAAAACATTGAGTTACTCCCTCAAAACCGTTGGTTTTTATCTGCAACTCTCTCTCTCTCTCTCTCTCTCTCTCTCTCTCTCTATGTTACGTTTCTCTTTGCCACTCCCCTGCAACAGAGAATAGAAAACCGTTTCTAGGGTTTGGCAGATTCAACAATTCTTCCCCTTCATCAATCGCACTTGAATCTCACATACAGACTCTCATTCTTTAATTTGCTCAACGTCGTCGTATTGCTGGTCCAAGAACTTTCTGAAGTCTAATTCTCCATTTCTTTTCATTTGCTCCAATCTTGTTACTGCCTTCCGCTAATTGGAGCTGCTTCGTTCTTGATTTTGGGGTTCAAGTTCAAAAGTTTACGAGGTTTTATTTGAAGTCCTGCAAAGGGTTTTTGCTTTTTTGAATTTTGAAGATTCTTTTTCGTTTTTCTTGTTTTAGTAAAGAACAGTGCTTTAGGGTATCTTGTTTTATATATTTTTCTGGTGGGGTGGGTGGTGAGAAGGCATTCTTGAGGTAGGATATGAATAGTGTATTCAGTGAGCAGATACTTGCAGACAAGCTCTCGAAGCTCAACAGCACACAGCAATGCATTGAAAGTATCCTTTCCTGTTAATAAATTAGAAAGTTCTTTGTACCTTTTAATCTTTGGTTACATTCTTGGGTGCTTGTGTAATTGGTACTCTGAGGTAGCGGGTATGGGCCCAGATGGTAGCTACATCTCTGCTGTGAGAATAATGGATTTATAAGGTTGTATCTAAATTTCTCTGAATGACACTTACTTGATTTTTGCTCTAATTGATGAACAGTTGTCACATGTTGTGGAATTGGTAATTTGGCTTTTCATGGTCTGGTTTTCTGTTTGGATTATGCTTTACTTGATGGGGATAAATTCGAATTATCTCTCTTCTGACGTAGTTTGCTGGACATGGAATGGTTAGCTGATTTTAAACTTTGAGTTGCTGCTATAGAAACCAATAAGGTAAATTCCAAACTTAATTGCTTGTGTGCCGTCGATTGGTTGGAGGAGATGGCTTGATTCGACTGTTTTTACCATTTTGCTTCCTTTGTCAAGTTCAGCATTTTCAATGTTGTAAAGAGTACCCTTTTCTTTCTTAACGAAAGTTTGTTAGCTAATTTGGTACTTATGAATTCATGATTAAATTTTTCTTTAAAAAATAGGGGAAAACAATAGAATAACTTTCCAGAAATGTGGAAGATGTCTATTGAATGGTTGATGAACCCTAACTTGGAACTAAGTGATGGTTTGATCCTTGGAGGAGTAGGTGCACAACACCATTCATTTAATTCTATGAGTACCATCAATCTGCATATCAAGCTGGTTTGGTTTATGACTTACATTAGTGAAAACATCAAATGTTTTCAAATGTTGGCTAGATGACAGTACGTGCACAAGATACATATGATTGAAGCCCAATTTGAATAACCTTTTGGCCTATTGCTCATTTATTTATTTATTGGTTTCAATTTTTAAACATTTTTTTTTATAAAAAATTTCATTGAAGGTTGAGTTTAAAGTTAAAAAAAACGTGCAGGAGTCTACTTCTTGTTAACTTGAATGCATTCTGAAGCATTGTTGTTTAATGTCTAAGGTAAAACCCTGTTTCCTTGACTTTATAATAAGCTTTGTCACATTGGTGTATATTTCACCGAAGCAAAGCAGAACTGGTTGTTGCAACATGGGATAAACAGTTCCATAATGCACAGATGGTTCAGAAAGTTCCTCTCTTGTATCTTGCAAATGACATCCTACAGAACAGTAAGCGTAAAGGAAATGAATTTGTTACTGAGTTTTGGAAGGTTCTTCCAGCTGCGCTCAAAGTTGTTATTGAGGAAGGCGATGATCATGGAAAGACTGTTGTCTCTAGATTAGTAAGTTCCTCCTTCATTTATTTTGTTTCAGTTAGCAAATCCAGCAACTGATAGCATGAACCTATAGCCACTAATTTAAAATGCGGTGTTATACTAATAACAAATTTACAGTTAGGCATTGCTGTCACAATTTTTAATTTCAATCTTGAATATTTTTCAAGGAAATTGTTATTAGCACTCCAAAATAGTCATCCTGCACAGCTCCCTCCCTTTTTTATATTTTTCATTAGTGGGGAGTGCCAATAACATCTTCCTTTTTTTAACCATAAGTAGGCGGACAAGTAATGGGTTTTGGGTATTTGACATATATCTGTTTGTACTTTTAACATAAATATTCTTCTCTCCCTCTTTACCTGGCCCAAAGAATGCTAGCTGACTCTACTTATATTTTAATCATGTGCACCAGTCTAACTGTAGGAATTTTTGATCGACTGGTTTATTAATTCCTTCTATGATGTACAAAATGGCTCAACTTGGTTTGCTCTCTTACAAATTTTTTAGGTTGGAATATGGGAAGAGAGGCGAGTATTTGGCTCTCGTGCCCGGAGCCTCAAAGAACTAATGCTTGGGGAAGAAGTGCCTCCACCCTTGGAATTCAGCGGCAAGAAGCGCTCACGTTCAGTCAGAATTGTAAAAAGAGATTCACGCTCTATCAGAACGGTGAGCATAAGAGCTTCTGTGATAGTTCCTTTTCCATTTTGCTTCATTTTATTTCTATGTGACTACCATCTCCGCAGAACTAAGTCTTTTGTTCAACTTAATACATGTTCTGCTCCTGTATTTCTACTTATTTGAGTGATTGCTAACTTCATAATATTTGGATACCAGAAACTTTCCATTGGTGGTCCAGCTGAGAAGATCGTATCTGCATTTCACTCGGTGATCAGTGAACATCCCACTGAAGATGCTGAGATGAGTAAATGCAAATCTGCAGTTCATCGTGTAAGGAAGTTGGAGAAAGATGTTGACATAGCCTGTACTAATGGTAAACTATCTTTGGTTATGACTAGAACAGTTGACTGGAAATCATTTTAGCTCTTTCAGAATTACGTCCTTTTGCATAAGGGCATTTAAGTCTTGCCTGATTTCCAAATTTGTGGCCTCTTAACCTATTTTATTTTTATCTTCAGCAAAGGATCCAAAGCGGAAAACTTTATCAAAAGAACTAGAGGAGGAAGAAAATCTTTTGAAGCAATGTATTGAAAAACTTAAATTAGTTGAAGCAAGTAGAGTAGCGCTTGTATCTCAATTAAAAGAAGCTCTGCATGAACAGGTATTGAATCAAGCCATTTTAAAAAAAAAGTGTTCATCAGGTTTCTAGTTCAAAAACACGCAAATAAGGAAGCATGTTGTGCTTCATTCAACAAGAAGCTTTTCATGTTGTACGCTTCTGCTAACTTTCTGGAAACTTTGTCAGGAATCTGAACTGGAGAATGTTCGGACTCATATGCAGGTATGTCCCTAATGATTGTATCTTTCAATAAGTTCTTGTTGTTGTTTGTTTGTGTTTTTTTTTTCTGCTTTTGTTTAAAGTTTTATGAGATGGAGTGTTTGCATGTTATAATATTTTACCTTTGATCATCATGCCATAGTGTTTACTGGAAGATTGTTGGATGGTTATGTGGCACATTGTATTTTCAAGATTTAGAATGCTATATTGCCTCTTCTTTGGTAATTTGTAAGGCAACATCCACTTGGCCACCGGAAACTGTTACAAGAAGGGGTGCCAAATTTTTTTTGTGTAACATCCAAACCAAATGAGTTACTCTCCTCTTCCACAGACAGGTGCAAGTTTCTGGGAAGACCAAAATGAAAACAGGATACAACCTTCTCATCATTATCCTTTTGGATTAAGTGTCTTACTTGGGAAAGAGACACCCAGAATGATATTGGGTCAGTGGAGAAGGGGAGTGGCTATTGATCTTTGCTTTTCTCTGTTATTTTTCCCTCCTTTTTTCCCCTCATGGTGTAATTTCCTTCCGTTTTTATTAGTTACTAAAGTTGAACCCAGATCTGGGTTGTCCCCTAACCAAAGTCGCTAGGAGCTAGCTCAGATCTTTAGGACTTCAGAAGATGAAGTTAGTTATTTTAACCTAACATCAAGGGATTTTGTGAAATTTTGTAATTACATGTGTGGGTTTGCTTGACGACTGATAAACTAGAGAACAGAGTAGAGAAGGAATGCAATTTCTGCCTTAACTGAACTTCAAAAACTTCACATTTTCTGCTGTAAATGACCCACTAGTGTAGTGGTTTGGAGCAATTGCTCTCCTAGGAAAGGTCTTGGGTTCAAGTCCTAGCATCCGTGTGGTGTGGGTGAGTTTAGTATATTATCGTCCCTCTCAATAGGAAAGGTCTTCAAAAAACGTTTTTTGGATTTTTCTTGGAATATTCATGTGTGAATTGGGTTGAACAATAACTAGTCAGACAGAAACTCCACATTGTGTCCTGTCCATATATTTAGGGTAGTTTGGGTAACGCATAAGTGGGCAAAAGGATAAATTAAGGACCTGGCCCATTTATGTCCTAACCTGCTTTGACATACCAAATTGCCACCCATGGTCAGAACTGTTGCAACGCCTCTTAATTTTCATGTTGGTTTGATTATTAGCGAACTGTTAGTTGATGAGTCAATGTAATTTTTTTCAAAATACATGCAAGTTGGAGCTAAAAATTGAGGGCAGATGTGGTAGCTGTTAACACTGTTGCTGTGGTTGAGAAATGGTCTTAATTTCCATTACAGCAGAAGTTGCTGAATTGGGGAAATTTTCAAAGCATGTATAAGTGAATGCTAAAAAAATAAAAAAATAAAAAAGTTGTCTAACAAACCTTGAGATTTGATTCTGTTCTGAGCCTCTTACGAGACTTTTGCTGTAGGAGTGCTATTGGTTAGTACAAGTTCAGGACATTTGTTCTTTTGTCAATACCATTCATTTTAATGAAAGTCCAGTATTCTTATAAACATATAATGGGCTTTCCATTACAGTGGCTTTCCTTCAATATTAAATGACTTGAAGTGTTATATACTATAAGTAGATCAACTATGGAGGTGAATTTTGGCATTGGGACTTTTGTGTGTGATGATGGCCAGCTCTCCTGTTACTATTGTTACAGTTCTGAGAAAGACTTTGTTGTTGCATGACCCTACGCTAGGTCAGAGCATGTTTAGTTGGTCATGGACAAACATGTATGCTGTCTAGTCCAATTGTATCATCTCAAATTTTCAGTGAACTTTGTGCTAATAGATGCATTCAATTCCCACTCTTAATATCATACTAGCAAGCGTTGCATTGATCTCAAGCTAGTTTTTAATTCTTTCGTTGTGATTATGAGATCATGCAAAATAAATTATCTAGTACATCAAAGCATTTGACATGATATAACATTGTTGTGATAAGTTCCAAGTCTACTATCTTTTGTCCCCCTAATTTATTGGACCTTGATAATTTAACATGTGTGCTTTGTTGTGTTGTGTCAAGTAAAGAATACGAGTCTTGCTCTCGAAGTCATTAGTTCTCTATTTGTCTGCAGTTGATACAGATATAGGGATCACTATTGTTTAGCTTCATTATAGTAACAATTGAGCAATGGATCATCTGACTGCTAAGCTGATACATTTTGACAAGTGTAGGTAGCACAGGCACAGGCAGAAGAAGCCACGAACATGCGGAAGCGACTCAATGATGAAGATTATGTATTTAAACCATCAAGTGCGACTAGTCCACCAACTGATGGAAATTCTAAAAGGGGACAAACACCTAGGAAATCAGCTGCAGCCATTGCAGCTTTGGTTGCAGACAAGCTTGCTGCTTCTAGTTCTTCTCAATTGATTATGACTTCTGTTCTTTCTACTTTCGCTGCTGAAGAAGCGAAGAATGCTGGTCTGACAAAGCCCTCCACGTCTTCAAATTCATTCACATCCATGCCCAAGAGTTCGGGGACTGATTCAATGTCCAAACCTGAAAGGTCCATGCCAGTTTCAGATGCCAATGTTTTTATGTCAGCACAGCCGCCTGCTGTGCCGCCAAACCATTCGTACCAATCAGCATTGGTTCCCCAACCTCAGAATCAAGCCCCCACCTCTCAAGGTCAATTTCACATGCTTCCAAACCCACCCTCCCAACAATATTTACAGCCAGCAGGAGGGGTCATGAGCTCATATGGTTATGGGAGCATTCCACCTTTGCCTCTAGGACCACCACCTCCCCCACCTCATATGGTGAGTCCAATGGTGCCTTTGACTCAACAGCCATTGCAAATGAATCAACAGGCCGTACAAATTACCCAGCAGCAACCAATACCCTTAACTCAGCAACCTCCAGCTCCTAGTTTCCGGCCACTTCAGCCACCCGGAATGGTGTATTATGGTCATCCTCATAATTCTCAGTGAATTTGAATTATTTAGGTAGACAGTATAACAAATGTGAAATTTGAATAACTTAGGTAGGAATTATAACCAATGAGAAATTTTGAGGAAAAAGCATTTTGTGCCGAGATCAAAATTTTTGTTTATTCATTTGGGCGGCTTTGGTTTTTTTTCGTTTCTTCTGAGATCAGCATTTTGGCTCTAATTTTTGGGGTCAGCATTTACTCTTTTAGGATCCCATATAAATTTAAGGATTTTTAGCCGTTTTGCCCCCTGAACTATTAAGCAATTTGAACTTACCCCCTTGAATTATTTCGTCTGCCGATTTAGTCATACTCATAATAAATATTCAAGGGTTAACTATTGATTTGCTCCCTGAACTTGTACCTAATTTTCGATTTATCCCCTATCTTTTTTTAAAAAGAAAATTAAGGACTTCAATTATTTTTTTTTGTCAATTTCCTCCATACCGTTAGATTCACTCACATTTCATCCAATTAGTGTTAAGAATGGTCATATGCAGAGGGAGCAACGGAGAGGGTGGGTGTAGGAAAGGGGAGGTGAGGGGAAGGGCAAGGGCAAAGGGATGGAGATGGTTGATGGGTGGGGGTAACAATAGTGGGGAAAGGGGAAAGAGGTAGAAGGGTTTTTAATTAGGGTATTGATTTTCCCACTCCCTTTTTATCTACTTACACTCTATTTTTCTAAACAAAAAGGCTGATTTTCTCACTCCCTTTTTATCTACTTACACTCTATTTTTCTAAACAAAAAGGAGTGTAAGTGGATAAAAGGGGAGTGAGAAAATCATTTACCTTTAATTATTATAATTTTGTGTTTTTTGCTTTAATTTTTATCTCAAAATTTTAATTGTTAAGGTGAAAAAATGACCAAATTGCCCTTAAATAGCCTCACACGCTTGGTACATGATATTTTTACTGGTAAATTGGATGGAACACGAGGAAAATTAACGGCAGGGGGGAAACTGGCTAAAAATAATAATTGAGGTCCTTAATTTTCCTAAAAAAAAGGGATTGGGGGTAAATTGAAAGTAAGGTACAAATTCAGGGGGCAAATCAGCAGTTAACCCTACTATACAAAACAATTAGTAGGCTACTAGGTAGCTATTTCCAAAATATAAGTTCATTTTGCACTTCCAAATTCATAAATATTTACCCATATACCAAATTAACCACACCATAGCTTATTAAAGAATATACAACCATAAAGTAAGGTACAAATTCAGAGGGCAAATCAGCAGTTAACCCTACTATACAAAACAATTAGTAGGCTACTAGGTAGCCATTTCCAAAATATAAGTCCATTTTGCACTTCCAAATTCATAAATATTTACCCATATACCAAATTAACCACACCATAGCTTATTAAAGAATATACAACCATCTTGTCATTAAAAAAAAAAGAAAAAGAAGAATATACAGCCATCCCCACCCCAATATTACCAATTATCTAATTAACAACACAGCAACTTATTAAAAGAATAAGAAGAAACCCCATGGTGGCTCTGCCAGTGCCTAGAGCCAATGGCGGACCCAGGAATATTTATTCTTTCACTTCCTCGGGCTCGAGGATGGTTAGGTTTCGTACGGATGTTTTTGTGATTTTTATGGTTTTAAGTAAAAATAATGTAATTAACCTAAATAAGCATATAAATGTAAAGACAAGAATTGAAATGCGATAAAATAAATCGAAGCGATAAATAAAGCAAGAACGAAATAAAAGCAATAAAAACAATAAGAACGATAAAATAAACAAACTTGAAATTAAACTTAATTGAAGTGCGATAACAATGAAATGTAAAGGAATCAAAATAAACTTGAATTTAAATGACAAGAAAATTATAAACGTACACTAGAAAAATGAAGAACTCACTACACTAGGTGCTTGAAAATTAAAATCCTAAGTCTAGGAAAAGAAAAGTGCGAGACGAAAGATAGGTTTGTCTGTTTGGCTAATTTTTTGTGTGT